TTTGAAGCTGCGATGAAAAGCTTTTCGTCTTGCTTCTTTTTTGGTCCCGTCACTTTTTGGCCTATTTGTAATCTTCTGTATTTATATACTTTTTAGGACTTTTGGCTATGTAAGCCATTGTTGATAGACTGGTTAGAATTTTGCGTTTTCATTTTTCGGTTTCCCATATATGGACTGCCCTCTGTGAATGCACAGAATAATTGACAGCAAAACCTGATTCTGATTGTCTATTACAACGAATTATACACTAATAACGGAAAAATTTACCCGATGATGTCAGAAAACAATAATTCACAGCATCTGCTCCCTCTATTGTACATCATAAGTCCCTTATCTTCATTTGTCCTGGACTGCTGAATAAAGTGACAGTAATGTACAGAGGCCCATAGGAGGAAGATGAAGACGTGCTATCAAGAGCAGCTGTGGCACAGCAGCTGGTCTGACAATGTGTATGTGGCCTGAATACACTTCTATTCATCTAAGGTACCATTAGAAGGTCACTGCTTGTGTGTGTGCATATGTGTTAGCATTGATCATCTATAAAACTGTAGCATATTTGAGTCTTTGTTCCATTTTCAAACGGCAGGTTCCCTTTTGAGCGTTCACTCTACATTGCAAAGCTCTACATTGCGTTCACTCTCCGAAAATCCTGAAACCTTATAGGATAATGCCAATACAATAAACTGGCCAATTGTCACAAAATATGCAAATCACATGCAAATACTGTATATAATGCGGTAAGAGCAAAAATGGCCTCAGAATCATCTTCTTCACTCTGCCATCGTCGAAGATGCACCAGAAGATACGACAACTTCTTCACCGCACCTTCTGTCGACTTTGTGCAGGCCCCATTGACCCGCTGGACACGCACAAACACTGCATGCACTACCCTCCCTTCGGGCGATGGTAACAACTCGGTCCGGGGTGGTCATCCTCTGCCGTCGCCCCTTTCCCCAGTCCTTTTTGCTGACGACAGCCGAGACACTGAGGGCCCCCCAGACCTCCAGGAGGAGCTCACCTGGGTCTTCACGAAAGCCGTTAAGGAGCTCAACCTCAACTGGGATACTCCGGAGGAACCTACCAGGAGTAAGCTTGACTCCTGGTACTTCCAGTCGAGCCGCTGCCACGCTGCCTCGAGGAGGAAGATTCCATTCTTCCTGGATGTCCAGGTGGTGAAGTCGTGATCTACAACCCAGTCGGCGTGTGTCCACACTTCCACACAGGCCATGTTTTCCCACGTGGACAAGGTGGAGGCCCACAGTTACATGCGCATGCCCTTCATCGAGGAGATGGTCACCGCGCATCTGTTGCCTTCCTCAGCCACGCTTGGCATAGAACTCAGCCTGCTTTCTAAGCCTTGCAGATTGACCACCCACCTTGCTGACAAGGCTTACACTTCCGCTGGCGAAGCAGCATTCGCACTGCCCATGATGGCAGTGCTGCAGGTTTTTCAAGCTAAGCTCCTGCAGTCCCTGGACAGCAGCAACATGAACGTGGACACAGTGAAAGACCTGTGCACGATGACACAGCGCTAATGGTGACAAAGCACTCCGCTCAAGCCATCGGTCATTCCATGGAGTTCATGGTAGCCCTTCATAGGCTCCTATGGCTGACCCTAGCTGACCTGAAGGACTTCGACCTTAAGGAGTCTGTTTTTGAGCGCTTCTCTGAGGTGCATAAGTGCACGAAGGCGATGAGTCACCTGATGCCCCGGCAAACGTTTCATCCGCCGTTGAGATCACACCCCTCTTCTACATCCCGCTCTGGTTTAAAATACATCTTGTATTGGTTTAGCGCCACCTATCAGCTGTGGACTTTCCTAGCGGCATCGCTGTTGGTTGGGAATTGTGTGTTGTTCTACCCAAAGGTTGGAATCGACGCCATCAAGGGGAATCGACTCCTCATTCAGAGCCTTTTTCAGTTCAACAAAGCTTATCTAAGTGTGCCTCTCAAATGGAATGCTGCATCCTACGAAAGCTGCATATCTCGGCTGCTACGTCATCAAACGTTGCTGAAGGCCATTTCAATTTAAAGGATCCTTGAGCAGCCTTCGTTTCACACCCTCCTTTAGGCCTGTTTTGAAGGACACATCTGATGTATCCTTCGCCCACAATACTTTGCACACATTTAAATTCACTAAACTGAAAACTGAAAGAAAATTAGTCTGTACCTTTGCTCGCCAACATTGATTAGAAGTCTGATTTGTTTCCACTAAAAGGTTCTTTCGGATAGATCGTTTTAATGAACCAGTTCAAAAAACGATTCAGAGGTTATTTTTGTCGAACTGGCTTATGTTGTCCACAATTTTGAGCACTACACGACAGAATAGATCATGACGTGATTGAGGGTCTTGATTCTATTTCCATCTTAAATAAAATGCTATTTTTTTTTACATTTCTATCAGTCAATGATAATTCTGAAAGAAAACGTCATGATCACAGATCAGTGGCCGCAAGTTCATCTGATTGACTGATAAACCACAAGCTCTTATATCAGTGTTGTTGTTAATGTTCTGGTTATTTTGTTTCAGTGTACAGTTTGTTAATTTTGTGCAAAGCATACAGTAAAAGTAAACTTAATCATTCAGCTTAACTGTCCAGATGTATTTTAAACACTTCATGTCTTGTTCTATTCATGTAATAAACACATGTCCACTGCTGAGCTGTGGGCCATGACTAATTTCATGGGCATTGCAGACAAAATTACAATTTAAAAATCAACCAGAGCTATAGAAATGTATCATCATTTTTACAAATAAAGCTTCATATTATGAGAAGGCTACTTTCTACGACCTTTATATATACTGCAGTCATGGCGAGAGGCTCCTTCAATCTAAAAAACAAGAATAGAAAAAGAATAGAAAACAACAGTGGGGAATTGATTCTTGGAATCGAATCCCATCGATTCCAGAACCAGGAATCGGAATCGAACAGCCCTACACTGCATTATAGGCCCTGTCCCAAATCTCCCCCTAAACCCTCACAGTCTTCCTCTGAGTCCACACTTTCATGACGTAATGCCGCTTTGACTGTCGGGTCAAAGCCTGCTGCGGAGCTCGTCCCAGTGCAGGCTCAGCAGAAGCACGCGTCGAGGGTGTATAGCGGCTGCAAAGAGGGCGCTCGTGAGCACCCTTCTGAAAGCTAAAATGACGAATGGGACACCCAGGGCCGGATTTATGCATAGGCATTCTAGACACGTGCCTATGCTTGCTCGTCCAGGGGGGGCCCAAACACAATGTAGAGATATATAATATTTTTGTTATACTATGCGATATCTACAACAGTAAAAGAACCAAAAACCACAGAAGACATTGAGCAAATAAATATAACAAACAATAGGGTAAAAATGACAAACTATTTCCATGTCTTCAACCTTTTTTATGTACGGCAATCACACTTTCTTTCTCCCGTTCTTTCTCACAGATGCACACACAGTACAGACACGCACCCGCGCACACACGCGGAAACGCGGACAGAAACTTGTTGTCAGAGCTGAGGCTGCCCCGCAAATTTATCAATAAAATAGTTTCGCATTTCTCAGTAGCAAGGTTCTTGAAGCAGTTCAACTTAAAAATTCGCTATTAGTAGACACTGCTGCTGAATACTGCTGAGAGACGCACAGACTCAAGTATTCACATGCACTGTACCGGTTATACGAAATATTTTTGTTTGCTTGGGTGGTAATATTAGGCCTATTATATTAATAGTTTTCTTTTGCCTATGTCACGAAAAGAGGTAAATCCGGCCCTGGGGACACCCTACGCTCTCGTGGACTTAACGAACACACACACAAGGTGGCCATTGTAAGTCCTCAAGACCGCAAATGCACATGAAGTGGGCCATTTGGGACAGGGCCATATACTGCCCACAGGCTTGTCAGTATTTGCACGCGATTTGCATAATTAGCGACAACTGGCTTCAAGATTTTTAGAGAAAGGGTTGAAGTGCCCTCTGCGAATGCTTCACAATGTATCGTTCCCTCTCTCAGGGAACCGAAGTTACGACAGTAACCGGAGACGTTTCCTGTTGCCTTGTGTCAAGCAAATCACTTTGATTTAAATGTGTGAAGATGTGTTCAAAACTGATTTAGTACATTGTAAACAGTAAAATTTTATTTTTATGAATTTTTGTAAGGTTTGATGTAGGAAGTTTAGTAAGTAATGCTTTTACTACTAGTGATACCCCCTATAGCGGTAAGTTTGTAATATGGAATGTTGAACTAGCCTACTACTACATCAGTTTTAAGACAATGTACACCAGCACAATTAATTTGCATTTCAGTGTTGAAATAATCAAATGTTAGGCCTATTTACTATGTTAAAAAATATGGTGCACTGTTTACAATTTGAATTCTGAGCGTTTATTTTTGTTGTCATTGATTAAATATACAGCCTGCATGTTCACAAAAATGTAATTTTTCAAAGATTAGACATTATCCTAGACTCTTTGGATTAATTGCACAGAAGCCCCTGTCAGTGTCACCTGTCCTACTGAAATCACTGACCAGTCAAATACCACCAGTCTATGATTTCTGTATGTATATATATAGATATAACAAACAGCACTTTTCATTCAATTGCATACATATATCCACACAAGGTCCCATTTGTGCATTAACAATGAGAAATACATTTGTTACAGTATTTATTAATCTTTGTTAACATTAGTTAATAAAAATGCTACTGTTCATGTTAGCTCAGGTCTGTTAAATCATATTACAGTAACAGTTACAACTTTTTGATTACAATAGTTTATCAGTGAATGCTGAAATGAACATGAATTAAGATTTAAAAAAATGCTAGAAGTATTTTTATTGTTAGTTCATGTTAGGTACAGAAATGAAGCCATGTTACCATAATGAATATGCACAACAGTGAGACACAGTTATGGTAACTTAGATGCAATGTTTAAAGAAACATAATTTAATGTACCACATGCAGCTTCAGAAGCTCTTTAGGGCAGAAGACATCTGAGCTCTATATCCATCCTAGGAGAGCTGGTGTGAGTTTAGCAGTATTGAATCAGTTCACTCATGGTACATCCTGAAGTACAGCAGATGCCCGCTGGCCCGACATCACGGCGGGTCCTGGAGGACATGCTGAGATCCTGCACAGTGGTGGAGTGTTCCAGATGCTCTGCTGGTGGGCTTGTGTGCTGGTGGGGGGCTGGATGCTCTGTCAAGCTCTCGGGGGAGTCATGCTCCCTCCACTGCTCGTTCTCAGCAGACAGGGTCTCTTTCTGGTGCACAACAAGATCTCTGTTGAGCCAGTTTTGTAGATTCCCTGAAAAGGGACAGATGTTGTATCAACATGAGATGTTTTCATTTATCAACACACAGAATAAAGTAAATAAAAGGTTAATGCATTGATAACTACATGAATGTCTGAAGAAGGCAAACCTACTATGGGGGTTTGCAAAGTGAAGTTCTGAAGCAGGTGAGTTCCGTCTGAGTCGAGAGCTTCCACACGATGTAACCACCATCCGAATGAACTCACGACCACAAAGCTTCACTGGTACATCTTGACTCTCAGTCTTGGAAGTATCAAGAAGAATTAAAAAAGCTAAAGATGCAAACCACTTCATGTTCATAGTGTTTCTTGGGGTGATCAAATTGGAATAAACAATATTCAAGTGTGTTCAGGTACAGCAGGCTACCTACCAAAACCAGTTTGGGGATTTTATACCCCCCATCAGACCCTTGGCACGCATGGTTTCAAGCATCTATCTGGCCTTGAATGAAGAAAATCATGTTCTGATCTTTGAGGCCTTCAAGCTGGAACGTATTTCAGATAAAAAGTGTCAACTCTGATATATTGTATTGCCCGAGTTCAAGGAAAATTGTGATAGCTGGTCACATTTTTCGTATTTACTTATAATATCTCTTTTATGAGTTTACAGAAATGCGTCAATGAACGTGTACTTGTAATATTAGGGGAAAATGGATAAGACACTTCCATATTAACCATAGATATCACTAACTCATCTAAACACATTTACTTAATGGTTATGCTCATATTAATATGGACGTTTTATCTGAAGATCAACATTTGTGAGATTTATTCCTAAAATCTAAACGGAATAGATTTATTAATCTAAACAGTTCTAGTCTAATTTTCGGTCTTTAGATAACTATGATTTGTGAATTTAATGTTGGTTATTAAATGTTTTTAATGTCTATATGTTAGTGGAATGTATTTGTGGACACATTCATTCATTTGGATAGCTAGGATAAAAAATATCTTGTTTTTTATTTCAAGTGAAAAGTGAATGAGACAGAAGCCCCCTAGTGGAATGTTGTTGCTAGTGTTTTTGTTATAATTTATTTGGATAATTATTATAATTAATGTAGTTATTATTTAATAATTTGTGAATTAGACATTTCAAACATCTTGATCATTCATAATAAACAATAGGCCAGTTGAATGGAATAATTTATTATTTCCGTTAATAATATCTTGTTATACAGTACGCATCATCTTTAATCTTTAAGTTATCTTTAAATGTTTTAACAGGAAATGCACACTGTGGTCATCTTACCTCATCTTCTTACTTTTATATATCAAGATCTTTAAAAACATTATGCAAGACAATGGTTGCAGGGCACTTTCTTGAATGACTTTTAGCCATTCATTTTGATTTGATACACTGATGATTTATTTGTGTTCGCTTCTGGTGTGGATTAAGCTCAGGGGGTTAAACAACAGAGGAGGCACATATAATAAATAACAAATAGATACATTAGTTATTCCAGTATTGTCTGAATTTACTAGATGATCCCATAATTGACCGTTATGCAGCAATTCCTGCTGTCAGTGGCAGAGGATGACCTTTCCTGTACAACAAAGGCCACTAACATGCAACTGTCAAGGGCTCTTCTCTTTACATTCCCTTAATTGAAGTTGAACATTTCACTCAAAACATTGGCATCACGGGTCCTCTTGATCCTTAAATCCTATTAGACATTAAGTCAGATCGCTTGACTTCTCACTGACGGTAGCTTACGTGCTCACTTAGCACATAGATTGTTTTTAGAGAAGACAAATAAATGAAGATGTCCATGGGAAAACTCTGAAAACAATACAAACAAAGCCATTTATACTAAGCCAAAGGAAAGCAGCTCCTCTGAGATTCACATTGTGCATGGACTAAATACAGAAAATGTTACTGGTTTCATGTCGTTTCATGGAGCCTAAAGCTTTTTTATTGATGATTATATTGAATTATTTATGTAGCGACATGCATACGATGAACTAGTTCTCTCTTATGAGCAACATTTTCATATCTTTTATTAGTTTTCCAGTATATGCAAGTTGCAGGAATATGTCATGTGACACAGAGCAAAAGGGAGCCATATGTTATCTAAAAGTTTGACAATATGACGATATAATGTATTATAAGAAAGATATAAAATATATGGGGGGGGGGGGGGGGGGGGGGGGTTACTTACTGCAGATACAGTCTTATAAATAAAAATCATTACAAATAATAAAACAATAGAGGAAATCACACTTCAGACCGTCCAAAAACAGTCCAAAAGTGTGTTGGGCTAATCTAAAATAAATGTAAATGTAAAATACAACATTCAAATTGTTATTATTATTATTAATCCAGTTTTATCAGTCCCTGAAAGCCATGGCATCAAAATGCACTTCACCTAGAATAGAAACTATGTGAAAGCAACACTCCAAATACACCAAAGGTGTCTGAAGGCCACATAAGTCTCACTTGATCCTCGGAAATCCTTTTTGTTTTAACTGAGGAAGAAACATCTTCAGAATCTCAGGATTCTTGTATGTGTTTATCTGTACAGTGCACTTCCACCACCTTACATGGAGGTAATGATGGACGAAATCATTTTCACACAGTTTGTGTTGATGTTGCAATTAATAATCTGGAGTCTGTGATGTAATACTTTTTTATCTGAATCCATTTGTTGCCTGAAATGAACAGATGCTGCTGAAATCAGCACAAGGTAGTTCGCCAAAGATCCTCAGCGACATGCCATTTGTAAGCCATCTTAAAGCTAATGGCTTAATTTTCTTTAACCTGGCGTACACTCATCTTTTAAATCCCGATTTAATTCAAGGCAGGCTGGGAACCTGAGCTCTCTGTTCAAGGGCAGTGAAGGCAGGTTGGGTGACAAGGACGTTCAGTGATGACACGTGATATGATGTCTATTGTCCTCATCAGATTCTTCAGCTGGAGGCTCAAAGCAGTTCTCTAATTTTCTTTGCAGTCTTTTCTTGAGGTTCAAGCCCTGCTGCACTTTTGTGTTAGTGTCCTCCTGGGCCTTCAGCTTGGCATAATAGTCAGAAAACTTGTTAAACAGGATTGAGATTGGCATTCCATTTAGAATAATACCAAAAGATATGCACCCGAAGGCCACAACTCGACCGGAGTAAGAAATGGGCACCACATCTCCATATCCCACAGTGGAGATGCTCACCTGTAACAGCGTAAACGAAAGACGATATTAAAACATCGTCTATTTAAATACTGGACAAAATACAAAACAAAGACCAGGAAAGAAGCTAAAGAGAATTATGTTTCCACATCAGTTTATCAGTTCAAAATTATGCATGCAAGTCAACTTAGTAAGACTGAGTAAACCTCCAGAAAGTTCCAAACTAATCTAACTTTTCCAATCTGCATGGATGCCTCCATTTGAGAGGCATTACAAGGTATTATACAAGATTAAACACAGCTGCCAGAGGATATGGACTAACAATTTAAAGAGGATAGAAGGATACAACAGCCACAGCAAATGATGATAACGATAACAATAAAAAAAGCACTCACACGCAAGTGATGCTATTAATAAATTCACTTTTTTTATTTGTTTTTTTTTTGTGCATAAAAATGGTTTAAGTATGTAAGCTTTGTACAGAACAGAATGAACAGATTTGGCTATTTAAACCACATCCTATACTAATAGGTGTACATTATGAATACATTTGCACAGTATCCTTAAAGAAACAGCACAACAGAAAGCTTCTAAAACCGGTTAACTGTTCATTGAGTCTAGTGCAATGTTATTTTAGTATTATTTAAATACTATTATAGTATTTAATGATATTTTAAAATAGCTTTTATTTGTATATTTTCAGTCTTAGTCATTTTGTTATGTGCTTTAATAACTTTTTTATATATTTCTACTCTTTTAAATTAACTTTTATTTTCATTTTAGTACTTAAACTTATTTCAGTTTGTTGACACTGCAACATTTTCATCTAATATGTAGTTTTTCATCAAATATTTATATAACAGTTTATTTCACTTTCATTTCAATTACTATTTTTAATAGTTGTATTACAGTAAATATAGTTTTAGTCAACAATAACAACTCTTGTGTGGAAGACTGACCTGTATAAAACCCAAACCTGATCACCATTGGTCCCCTGTGAGCCCACTCCATCGCCCCACATCTGTGTCTGACCTCACTGATGCTCTTGTCTATGAACGGAAGCAAATCCCCACAGCCATGTTCTGACGCTGAGTTGAAAGCCTTCCCAGATTAGAGGAGGCTGATATAGCAGCAAAGTCCTAATAATAACCATGGTTTTAAAACTACATGCTTAGGCATAGTGTTTGGATGTCCGAGTAGTTTTGGCCATGTATATGAATATATGAATTATACTGCAATTCTGCTAATTGTGATGAATGTTTTGAGACAATTTAAGACATACTCACCGCTGCCCACCACCAGGCATCTGGTATACTGCTAAATGGTGTTCCTGCAACATCTTGCTCCACTGAGTGCATTAGGGCGGAGAAGGTGAAGATCCCCATGATAATGAACAGAAACAGGCAGCAGACCTGCTCAAAACACTGGCGAAGAGTGAAGCCAAAGGCCCGCATACCCGTCGAGTGCCTCGCCAATTTCAGAATGCGAAAGATTCGCATGAGTTTGACAACTTTTAGCACTTTGCTAACTTTGCTAACTCTCGCCATCGTTTTCAGATCATCTTGGACGCTGAGATCTTCCTGGTTAGCAAAAGCCTCAAATATCAGCTGGATAAAGTAAGGCATGACAGCCACTAAGTCTACCAAATTAAGTGCACTCTTCAGAAAATGCTTGACGTTGCAAGTTGTCAGCAAGCGAAGGAAGTACTCAAAGGTGAAGAAGAGAATTGAAGTGATCTCCACACACTCCATGTAGGTTCTTCCATAGATTTTATAATCTTTCAGTTCACTCACAGTGTTTAGAGTCATCGCTACAATGGAGATGAGCACAAAGAGGCTGGAGAACACAGCAAAGGCCTTAGCAGTCATCGATGAGTATGGGTTCTCCATCAGGTCCCATAGTATCTTACGAATGCCACCAAAAAACATTGTTTTAAAACCCTTCTCATTATGCTGGGGCTCAATTTCCGCCATAAGCTCCCTGTTTACTTTCAGCTGGTCTCTTATCTCGTCTAGTTTCTCCTCGTAGAGAATGCGACAACAGCGAGGAGTGTCCCTCAAGTGCAGGCCCCAAAACTTCATCTCCTCCTCAAAATTGACAGGGCAAAGACTTTCCATTACCCATAATACATTGCTACAATAGAAGTGGAAGATGTAGTGGAAGAAAGTAGGATCCCGGTCAAAAA